AGGTTTCAGGGGAAATGTATCGGAGTCAAAGTATCAGTTTTCTTTGCGAGATGTAGTGAAGTAAAAGTAAAAGTCAACAGAAATATAAGTAGTAAAGTGAAGTATTTAAGTATTTCTACTTCGTTACTATACACCACTGCTAAAGCATACATGCATTGTGTTAAAGACGACACAGAAACGATGTTTCACGTAAAATAGTACAGAATGTTGTTGGATCTGTACAAACAGATTCAACATCGCAGAGTAGTGCGATAATAGAACCATATAAATGTATACAAATACAACAGGAAGTGGTGCAATTAACGGCAGTCTTGGGGTCCCTATAAATAATGTGATTTCATGATAGTCCAACAAAACGCATTAACATTATTTGAGATGCATATATTTGCATCTCATTTATCATCATTTCAAGGGGAATACCAGAAGAAATGTATATTCTACTAAGTATCTTACTGGAATAGTGATGTGTAGTGCAGAGTGCAGTTCCCTCTGTTCTCCACTAGAGGGCACCGGAGCGCTGTTTGTTGTCTGTCCGGAAGTGAACAGATCAAACATTACTTTTCTCCCTCATATCCTATCAGAGCGGACTAATTATATGATTTGTAAAGTTCTGATTGCATTTATAAGTCGCTTGACATTAGATTTGTTTAAACTAGAAGTTATAACTCTTCCTCCGTTAGTAAATAAGAGAACTCTTGCGTCTTGAATTCCTATTGGACTAGATTGCACCACGTGACCAGGAAGTGCTCTGTAGCTGCACACGAGACATTACTTTGTTAAAATAACCGATTTTGCTGCCGATTTCTGATCTTTTTAGTCATCTTCCGTGTTTTGCTGTTTTGTTTCTGTCCCATTGAGTTTCTGTACTGACACAAATATTAAAACCGTGAGTGACATTGGCTGTGCGGAGAATTGCATGCGCACCTCCGACAGTCCTTCAGTATCGCTTCTCGGCCTTTTGGCTAAGATCAAGTGTAGTATCTGTTCTTATCAGTTTAATATCTGATACGTCCCCTACCCGGGGACCATATATTAAATTGATTTTTGGAATAGGGAGATGGAACAGGGGCTTGCTCCATCCACTCCACGCATCGACCTGGTATTGCAGAACCTCCAGGAACGGTGCACCCCCTCTACATGTTCAAAACTAAACCATGAGAATTTTCTTTAGAGTAGTTGATGTGATGTTAGTAATTATTGAAAGTCTTAATCTGTTAGCAGGCCTGAAACTTTGTGCTATTGCAGTTGTTTGACTGTTACTCATCAGTTTGAGGTAAACACATTTGATGAAACTGGTGACTTTAGGTCAGCTTTTGAATTTCTATATTTTCAGCACCATCAGTCAGCATGGTAACGTTATGTCTGTGAAACGCTTCCCTGTCTCTGAGCTGTCTACGGTCTATTTTCACCACATGTATATAATATATATATTAAGTAGGGAGATATCATGATCCATAATGTGGCTAATCTGTATGGTTTAGCCACTGGACTAATGTATGATTTCTGGTTCTCATAGCACTGTAACTTTTTATGCAATATATTACACATGTATCAGAATCACAAATCATTTTAAGGGAACAGTCCCCTTTGTCCCACTTTTGTTTGTCTCCTGTTATTCAACTCTTCACCGCTTGGGGGAGACAGTCACCACTACAGCTACGACAGTTCACTTTGTTTCTGCTCCGTCACAAGGCTGGCTTCACCTACATGCATTTTACAAATTCCAATGTAGTAATTTCTCAAAGAGAACTTGACAATAGTCAGTGTTTATACAGAGACTCCGGTGGCACTCAGAAGTGTTTCTTTGAACTGTGTGGACATTCACATTGGTGTTGTCTGGTACTGAGGCCAGTGTTGTTGTACATAATACAGTATTTTACTTTTCCTAGTAGCCGTGTAGTAGTGGACTCATCCCATGCCACCAAATACAGGACAGACACGACGCCAGCTGAATCCAAAAACTTTATTTATAAGGAAATAACACGAGCAATTGCAACTACATAACAGAAAACTACATGAAACACATTTTTTTCATAAGAAGAATATAAAAGTGATAAGATACAATTATGTTTAGTGTCAATATAACCTTTGTGAGGTGTTCTATTTTCAGTTTGACTACTTCCTGTGGTTCATTCAGGAAAGTTGAGGTCGAATGCAGGTCTGATTAGATGAGTTTGTCCATATAATGATAACTTGTATCCAACTTGCTCCTTTCTTTAACCCCGGCAGTCAGACTTGGATTGTTTTAATTAACTGCTGATTTATATAGTTGCATAATCCCTCTGTAATTTATTGACCTGAATAATTCTGCATCATGCTGTCAACTTATTTCTACAATTAGACATTTGACCTGATGTATGTGTGTGTGTGTGTGTGTGTGTGTGTGTGTGTGTGTGTGTGTGTGTGTGTGTGTGTGTGTGTGTGTGTGTGTGTGTGTGTGTGTGTGTGT